TGTGTTTTGGGGGCGATGGTATCTCTTTCTCTATATCAGATACTGGTGACAGCTCTGGTGTATCCACCGGCCTATGAAACTTTCTATAGAGTCATATCTCGTTGAACAATTACCGGCGGCTTTGTGAGCATCCTCAGTAAAGCGGCACGTCGACTTTCTCCAAAATCTCAGTAGTGTGCGCTGAAATAAGTCAGATCCCGAATGTGCACTTTGGGCTACGCCATCGCATTGCGTAGTTTGGGTCACTTTCAGCGAATCGGATCCGTGATGTCACTCGAAAGCAGAGAGTATCTTTCGGTAGCTCAGCTGAACGGGAAAGTAGACTCTACTCTGTCAACAACAGGGCACTTAACATCCGACTAATTGCAAAAGCGTGATCGCGGTATGGCTTCAGTATGGCAACATACAACACAGGATGTGTCCAAGTTCTCCTTGGAATGTTGAAAGTAAAAGTCAAGCTTTTTTGCAACGATCGTTATTGATCTGGTGTTGCGACAGCCGCAGCTCGGTCTTTCAAAAAGATGCTATACGTGCTGGCAGATTAGCTATATTAAATAAAATATTCAATCCCGTGTATTTTGCTTGACTCTCATCCATAGCCGGCGCATTAAGGTCAATTTTTTATCGATAAAATGTGTTGTTGTTACGAAGTGAAGCCGGGCTGATATCATCAAGTTAAATTGTATCAATATCCTTCCTCTCACCTGAAACTGAGTCAATTTTTGGTAGTGTCATCAAAGCCCGAAGGCCAACTAAATTATTCATCAAAGATGTGAAGAGCCATGATTTGCGCTATTAGATTTAGAATCAAAGCGTGGGCTGTTTCCGCAATTTAGTCTCTCTGCGCGAGTACTACAGATGATATCCCCCAACACCCAATTAACGCGTAATGTTTGTCTGCAGTTCAACAGTGGACACGTATAATCTGATGTCAAGCCTCTTGATTTTATTTTGCCGCAATTGCCACCGGCAAGTCATGTTTACAATCAACTCAGGTGAAGGATGCCTTGATCGTTTCCTTACCGGCTACATTATCGCTGACAGCGTGAGGATGAGCCCCATCGCTCAGATGTCAGAATATTCGATGCGTCATTCGTTAAAAAAAATCAAGGTATGTAGCTGTCTCCTGGAAACACTTTGTCGGATTTAGCAGGCTGGCTGAATGCATCCTGTTGACAGAATTCCGACGTGTGCAAAATTCGTTCTTACACTCATACACATTGTAACACCAGTACAATGTGCTCGCGGAGAGGTATCACTTTATTAGATGGTCACCAAAAGGAGCGTCATATGGATGTGCAATGTCCTGTATGAAATTTGCATCACGAGTTGCCACCACACATCGATAGTCAAGTAAATCATTTCTGTGATACAACAAGCATTGCGAAATTGTATAGCGATACAGGCGTAGAATTGCGCCCTTCAATTAAGCGGTATCTAAGCTTCTCAACTTTTGCCAAAGCTTTTTGCAAAGCAACTCGTGTTGCGTCTAATCCGTACGCTAAATTTTTGCCTTGTCAATGCGCGACATAACCATCGTAGCATGCGACAATTCATAGTGGTAATGAAGCAAGAATGCATCCGCCACCACAATATTGCGAACCGCTTGTTTCTTACCGGAAAGGTATACTCGGCAAAGAAGGATAGACATCTCGTCATTCTCTGTTAGAGAAGTGATGACGACGTCGCTGTGCGCAGCAACGCATAATCTTTACAGCTCACAAACGGTTCAGAGCTATATAGGTGTTCCCCGGAACTACAGGGGTATTACTTATTGCAAGTATCTTCGAATCGTGAACAGGGCCAGATTAAGCTGGCGAGACTGAAGCTCAACCACGTGTTCATGCTGTAAGAGGTAAAAGGAAGCCTAAGGCAAATGCTGAAGCATCGACGACATTTTAAGGCAATCTGGACACAAAAGAGCCAGAATCAGGACAATCTCTAGGCTGCCATAGGCTTATAGGTCGCCCCTTGCCGCAAACCAGCGTCATCTCATTCACATCTTTTAAGTATTAATCAAGGGTTTGTACCATGTTGGTTTCCTTTGCAGTGTATTTGAAGTAGTTCGCCAAGTCGAGCCACTTCCTTCGGTATCATTAAATTAGAAGCTTTGGTTACTCTACATTAGTTTGTATCTTTCCGTGTGCCAATTTTCAACAACCAAAAATTAAGTACGGCCGGCGCCAACGACACACCTGCCTATATTAGTGACCAGATGCTTTTTGGGCATACACTCGAGAACTGCTTGCAAGTGTATAACGTGGCCTTAAAACCAACTTCTGCTAAGCATATATTCTGTAGAAATAGGTTGGTGGATTGCTACAATGAGGCCTGAACAGCTAAATCAACGCCCCTCATAATCATCTGTAGAAGCTCATATTGAGCTCGTGAAAAATTGATAGGATGTGCTTACAAAGAGCTGCAGGAATATGAAGTCACGGCCAGTCTCAAAGGAGAAGCTGATTCCACCGTCTTTTACGGACGAGCCTATCATCGAGGACACTGAGTGCGAAGATTAAGAGAGAGATACTGAAGAATTTTACATATCTTCTTCATCCTCTGTTGAAGGGTTAGCACGACATAGTGACAAGAGGTCCGCCACGCATGTTTCTCTCGTATCGGGAAATGCGTCGTAAAATTGGCTTGGTTCTTTAATCATATACTATTTCACACGTCAATGACTCTTACCAAGGGAAAAATGTGAAGTCATCGACGCCTCATTCCATTCCAAATCCTGAGCGAAAATAGTAAATTTTTTCACTGTGCACCAATTTTCATCGTCAGAAAGGCTTACGGCAAGTAGCGAATTGTGGATACTTATTATAAGCTGAGTGCAGCTAAGACTTTGACGCAAACATCGTTTTTCACAAAGGATGTGCTACTGAACAGCATGGTCAGCTGCACTTTGTTCTGTGCTTGCTACCCGGCAGATGGATATTATCAAATGCTCACGAGACACCAATATCTCTCTCTGCCGCGTATATCTCGGGTAGATGCTCGGAGTGTGGCTGTTTATACTACACAACTGCCTAACGCGCTAGCGATGTTCAACTGTCTGACCTACAACCCGTCAGACTACTCCAGTCACTCCGTTTGCAAGTGATAGTTTTTCGTGCCAAATGACTCTGATATGGAAAAGACCTGCTTTCAGCTGTGATTTGCCGTCCCACCAGAGAAACACTTAAAACACGGCAAAATACGATCGCTTCTCTCTCTTTTATTGTGATCACGACTCCTGCTTTTCAAGCTCTTTTCCACGTACTTAGCAATAACATTTCTAATCAGTTGGAAGAATTCCGTGTCGCACACCGAAGCTATTGCAGCTATGTGAAAAAGTGCTTTTGTTTCCAAGCAGATGTGGTTTTTTGACTCGCCAAAGTCTCACCAAGGAAGCCATAACACCAAATTTCCTCGAACCCGGTCGGTCCAAGTCTCGCAGTGGCCAAGATCGACAAACCTAGGAGATCATTTCTCGAATCCAGGCTCAGGACGAGGCAGAGTTTCATGCGGTCAAAGTCTTCAAACTTCACGTGAAGTCGCAACAAAACCAAACGTCGATAATACTCCCGTCGCAAGGCGCATGTTTATCACATCTTTGTATTCGGCATCTCTAACGCCTCTATGCATTGTCTTGAATTGTCGCGCGCTGTACAAAATAAAATGCTTTTTCTGATCCTGTCACTATAAGTCATGTATGCATTTTGCCCGAGACGTTGGTGTTCACATATGTGGTTGGCGCCACCTCTTTTGTAGTGAACCGTCTTTAGAGGCTGGTTCCCATCGATCGAGGTACAAGAATCCCAAGAAATTTTCCAGCGGGCACAAGGCGGCCTAGTGGATTTCGACCTATCCCCGCCAGGGGGTCAAGGGTCGTCCCTGCTTGGAAGTCCGACCTTTCGCACCTTTTTACTGAGAGAGAAGGAGGTACGCAGGGTGCAGACGTTTTGTTGCACCATAGAAGAAACATCTACACGCAGTGCGGAGCTATCCAGCAACTCAGAGATATGTATTTCCCTGCTCAACATGGCTGCGGTCTGGCGAGCTCTTAAAGCTTTAACTTCCAGTCTTCTATTTGGTCCTTAAGGCACGAGATCTGTAATACGCGTTCAAACTTAGACCCAGTGCTCTCTGAAAAGGTAGTGTGGACGCGTAAGGTCTTAGTGCAAACCTCACCCACTTGGAGAATCTCTATGAAGATGATAACCATTAGCACCTCCAAGAGAGGGTCTGGCAATACTGCAGCCAAAAGAAAGTCATCTTCTACACATCGCATACCAGGGTTTGCCTCGCTTGACGAGCAGGCGAGATCTTGATATGCATATGATATGCAGAGTTAGGCGGAGCGACCACCTGCAATATTTGTTGTTTCTAATCCTCAATGTTGATGATGTTCTTCCATAGAGATACCGCATTTTGAGTGCCTATCACGCGCACGTCCTCCTCGCTTGGGTATCGCAAGCATGATGCGCTGTTGTTCTTTTTGGGGTAGTGCTGCATTCATGGCCGTCTCAAGTTTCCCAATCCAAAAGAGACGAAGTTCTCCATCCATACTATCGTAAGGTGGGCACTTAAAATCAGCAGCCTCGCGGTGGGTGCCACCTGCTCCCCGACCAACGCCCAGTTGGAGGGTTCCTATATGTGTCCTACTGGCGTATATTCATAGCCGGTAAGCATCTCTAACTAAGCAGTTATCTCATCTAGATCCTAGGACACCGGATCCCTGACCCCTTTTGGGACTAAAAACAGACCTAAGCTTTCCAAGCTTGTATATTTTACGAGGAACAAATACTCAAGCATTTCATATTATATTCTCAAAAAGAATGCAGCCCTTTCTCGTTGCTTGTCCGTCTAGAGGTACCAAGCGCAACGGATTTGCCGTGCAAATTGCAAAAAAAAAATATGATTCATTGATTGGGTTGACAAACACACGGAGACTGAGATTGTACGCTTGGGGGCTGCAACCACGGGCTCTTTTTCTGATTAGGATTGTTGGTATATGAATGGGCTCAGCACGGGCTTGTGCACTATTTCAAGCGCATGAAAGCGGTCATCAACAAAAAAATCGTAAGAATAAATACTGCCCTCTGATGTACAGTTACATTCGCGTTCGTCGGATGGCTCAACCTCAATGGTAATTTACCTCTTCTTCCGAAGTCAATAAAAAATCTCATTGATGTTGTGTTATAAGCGAGAACAGCCGTGTATTAACATTCGTGTCGGAAATTACTGTACCTTTTGCATCATTTTTGCCACTGAGGTTTGCTACACATGTTCATACACTTCCTGAAAATGCTCGACGTCGTGCATTGTACTTTGTAAATTCAAGCACTAAGCGATGTTAAGTCTGTCACCTATTACAGCAAAACTGGCTTGTGAGGCCCCAAAATGGTCATTCAACGAGCCTGCTTCACTGAACGCTTAAAAATGCTGCACATCCTCTCATTGTCATCAGCCCATGATATATAGATAATATTATTAAGAAAAATACTGTTTCCAGAATCGCAGCTGATCCATTCGTAAGCGGTACTCCTGAGAAGCGGAGTCACTAAGCAGTTCTTTCGGCGCACGTTGCGCTCTTTGATGGATCTGTAGGCTCATGTATGAGGGCTTTGCTGTAGTGTGTAAGGTGGCTTGCGATAAATCGAGGCGATCGAAGCACACGATATAGTCTGAAGCGCCCTCGTTGAAGGTCACTCCGACTGTTGCGCTTAAAGCTGCGTAAGCTCGGCTCGCTGAGCCAGATTTTCTCCACAGATGACTTTGAGGCTCATTGCGAGCCCTGCGATGATTTTTTCCTATATTATCTGCATCGGAGAACGGGAATGGTGTCTGCTGTTTGTGCAGGAGTAAGGCGAAATATGGGAAACGATCAAACCAATCTGTGTAACTTGCAGATCAGACGCATAAGGTATGGCACGACTCGGTGAGTCTCTTTTACCATATTGATCCGAAAACACCGTGAATATCTCATTGACAAATCCATCCTGGCGTCGACCACAGAGGCTACGTCTTTCTTATAGAAATGTAAAGGACATTATGGCGTAATTGGTGCTCGAGAAGCTTGCACTTGTAGAGTGCAGGCAAGGATAAAATTTTAGCGTAGCGGGTGGAAGCCTCCTTTGTGCAAAGAGCTTGGCTTTCCCGTTGCAGCGACCCTCCAGCCCGAGCATCAGTTGTTGTCTAGTATCAAGCCCAATAAGTATGGTTATGGTGGCGCTGTTTTTGTATCTCGATGTTTTTTCGTGTATTGTTTTCGAACGGGTGAAGACGAACACTCAGTGCAGTTGTCTAACGTACATTTCGTATCAAGAGTTACTGAGCGCATCTTACGTCGCAGCATGCCGAGAGATGGAATTTGCAACATTTTTTTCGACAACGATTGAAGGGAATTCATAATATCCTTGCCCTTTCAACCGATCTTAAGCAATAAATCATGCCTTTCAAGATGTGTAGAAAAAGTACTCATTAAAAACGTGTATACTCTGGGAACCGCGGTTTACGGTCGCTACGTTGCCCTCATCCCGAGACCGAGGCTCACTTTCGCTTCTGCCTTCAGAACAGTCCTCAATGTAATTAGCAATACATTTACTATTTCGTAGATAATGTTATGTCGTACACCAAAACTTTTGCGGCTTCATGCCTGCACTGAAAGCGTATGTGCTTTCTGGCATATGTATATATAATACTCCCCAATGCACAGAGGTTGAATTTGAAATGAGAGTTATTTAGGTAACTATTAATGTTGAGTTTGCCTGCCAGATCAAATGTTGATCAACTTAGGATTTTGTACTACCTGTACCCACACAGAATATGTACGTCTAAATACATATCTTGATAAATTGGCTTTTGTGCGACGTGCAGCTGGCAACTCACGTGTGTCACAACCTTTCTCTTTTATAGTTACATCATTTTCATTGAATTGAAATGCGAGTTTCGTACGATTGTTATACTCCATAGAATTGTTCAAATTAATAAGGGCTGAGTACACATGATTTCAGTACTTGCCCCGTTACACCCACCCACAGAAATGCGAGCCACACTGGAGATTCATACTCACTCAACTTTTTAAAAGACATTGCGCTAAGGTGACCGCTTTCCTTGTAGTCACTGTGCCTGTAGCTTCAATTCACTCTGGGCACTCAGTGCTCCTTCATTTTTGCATACTTGCACCAGGAATAGGCACAGATGCAATAAAAGTAAATGGCTGAGCGATCCTACAGAAACGTTTACAGAACATCTCAGTAAGGATGTTGATATATTCGCAGATGAGAACGATCCCCATTGACTCTCTGATCCTCGACTCGGCTTTCGCCCTCACTCAACAAATCACTGCCTAATCGTCTTTCTAGGAAGAGATTTTTTTAATTGTGCTCAGCCACTTTGCTGCACGAGTCTCGGACTCCGCAAATTTTCCATCGGCAGAAAGTTTTGCGACAATTCAGCGTGGAACTCACGACGATGGTCGGTAACGAGCTGGACGCGGTCAAAGAAGCCCAGCTCAATCTACTGCAAGTGCTAGAGTCGAGCTGACATTTACCCAAATCATCACGCCTTGCTTACTATATAAAATTCACTGCAGCGTTGAAGTGAGGATTGTCCATATTGGCTCTCCTCATATCCGAAGCAAAATGAACTCGAAAAAGCTACTCGTCAGCTCTTACTGAATCCAGTTAATCGCTTACCAGGAATACCGTTTATAGCAGCTGTTGCAAACATTCGTTCTCTCCTTGAGAAATATACCTCGGGTACAAGAAGCTGGCGAAAGTGCCGATGAGTATCGCGCACTGACTGAGAAGATAACGCCGCTCCACCCGTCTTAACTTATTACAAGCCAGCTTCGGCAAAGCAAACGTCTGCCAAAAGCGCGTTCTTCTGTCTGACCTAAGCACAACGCGGTCGTCGAGGTATGGATGCATAATGTCCGAGTCTTGCTATTAACAGCCCGGGCATGATATCAAGCACCTTAAACGATGGGTACCAAAACTTCGCTGTAGAGCTCAGATAGAATAGCTACCAGCAAGCCATGTCGACGAAACCCTTTGTCGAAAATAAATTTGGCTTTAAAATAATCCGCATCGAGCATAATGTTGCTGACAGCTGCGAGATGAGTAGGTGACTCACAACGACCACAATATCGGCATTACCGGATGCGATTCTTGAAAACCCAAAAAATGAAGCCCGTAACGACGGACTATCAACTCTTGTCGGGAGCTGGCATGCTAGCCAAAGGAGCCGTGGCGGCAAGGGTCCAGCCCTTTGGCAAGTGCTACACGTGCAGAGCTATGCGCTTTATCGCTTATACATGTTAAAGTCACCAATGCATAGCGCTTATTGATCAGTATTCTCTTCTGTGGTGGTCATTTAAAAACTGTATCATATGACTCGTACAGTAAGATTTACCTGAGGACCTCATCGCGAGGCACTACTAAACACTGACTATCGTGTGCGTCGGTGCTGTAGTATAGCAAACCTTAGATAAAACATACCGATGCAGACATGTGGTGTGATAGAAAAACGGCGACACCTGAGTTTCTAAATGCCTTGCTTCTCAAAACTTTTAACAGCGCAAATGATGTTGCGTCTGACTCTGCCATCAATTGACGACGCCACCATTGTGATCGCGACATGTGACATTTTATAATCGAGGCGATTCGAAAGCGCATCCGCCGCCACGTACCCGATTTATTTCTTACCTTAAAAATACAATTGGCAAAAAAAGGATAAGCAGCTTCTCGTTTTCTGTGAGCGTTTTTATGACGACGACGCTGTGCACTGCAACGCATGATCTGTTCGAATCACAAACAACTTAGGACCAACTTCATTGCAAGCACCTTTTTGATGTGAATAAATATGAATATAGTTATACTTCTCAGGTCTTGAGCTGACATCTACTCGAAGCAAACGCGGCCTGCTGTTGCAAATGCTCAAACATCACAGATAGCGTGAGATGGCCGATCTGGATTCGAAAGAGCCACAATTGAAGCACGCATTCATAGCCGTAGGGGCCTCTTTCTCTGCAGCCTTCCAGCACCATTTGATATCCTTCCTGTGGGGATTGGTGAGGGGTCCGAACATCCAAATAGTTTGGACTATACTAGTGCAAGTCGTTGGCCATACCAACTTATTTCTACTAGTCCTTTAAGGACAGACTTTTTTGCCAAGCATCATGATCTTTACCTTCTCGGCACTTGCCCGCAGGCCCTGTTTTATTTTGAAGCAGCACAGAATTCAGTCTCTCAAAGCCAATGATATACTTGTATATATTGTCAAAAAGCGTATTTAAGCGTATACACCTGAGCATTGCTCGCAGATGATTCTTACGGTCCTCCACATCCGACAACCCGTGCTCTGCACGACTATGGGCAAATATATCATCAGTATAGCCCAAAACGAAATATTTACTAGTCAACCGAACGTCAACGTCGCAGGTAATTGAAAGTCTTCAGAGCGTCCCGTTCGAAGAACTAGCATCAGTGAGAGAAATATCGCTATATTTTATTAGCAATTAATCGTATCCATCAACCGGGTTGAGTGCACCGAACAAATTGCATTCGACCTTGCTGTTCTGCAGATTATTTTGTATGAGAATTGGTATTTGTGCCAAAATATCGTAATTCTAGCATGCAGAGTCACCACTTGCCGTGGGCCGTTTTGACACAAAAGCTGGCACCGAGTGTGGATATCCATTACTCTATATATCCGGACCTTATCCGTGCTTCAAACGAATAAAAGCATCAATGACGTCACACTGTTTCCTTACTAAGGGTCATCGCAATGTTTTATTAATAGTCAATGTCATAACGCACTCTTTTATGAGAAATAACACGCGTTCCAGATTTTTCGTTATCACGTCGTGATATATCTACAGTTAAGAAAAGAAAGGCTTCGTTGAATCCACGATGATAGATGTCCAATTCCTCGCACTTAATGGTCTGCAATTGTTCTTGATGACAAAATCGTCTATTATAGATGAGGAAATTAGCTTTTTCTCTAGTATCGGCCGTATCTCTTAAGTGACCTCGCCGTCTTGCACATCCTTGCATGTATTTTTGAAGGTTACTTCTTCACCTATACGGCCAGAGGTAGTGAAAGGAGGTTATATAGTCTAGATCTACCCCGGTCACTCTATTAGTTAATCTCCCATACCACTTACTAACAAAGCTTCACTGCTCTGCAAGGTGCACATGTCACACAGTAGCCCTGATTTAGCAGAGCCGTCACATCGTGACATGAATAAGCCATTCGTCCAAACTTTGGGGCTTAGCCCTTCTACTTGTGACTTCTTCAGCTCCAGCAGCTCTGGCACAGAAGACAGCAAATCACAGCTGTTCTTGAATGTCCCATCAGATATACACTCTGAAGACCTCTTCTGAGCTTTGCTCGGGGCACCTTGCAGTACTTTGTAACGGGGTTACACGCTCCCTGGTATGAAGGGGTGGATCACACAAGATGGTGTGACCATACACGGGTATGGGTTACACAAGACAATGTAATCACACAATGGTGTTGCTACACCTTAACAAGAAGTCAGTACGCGGCTGGAGTGCCAGTAGTTATGCATTTTAATCAGTTTTACAATTGAATAAGAAGAACTTATAGATTTAGATATTGGTGGCTTTGCCGCAAATAAAACCAGAAAATGCAGTTTACATTTCTAATGAAAAAGATTATTTGCCTTGGGTTAAAGTTGTGGTCACTCTTGGGGTCAGCGAATTGCGTTCCGTTACACTCGTACTAATTTCAAGTATAGAACGAAGATCACCGACCTTAGCTTAGCTCTCTCTAAGCGAACGAGCTACGGCAGCCCCGCTGCACTTGGTAGCACTTGTAGTTAATCTACACCTGGGTCGTTACGACTGATCCTCTGTGAGGATGGGGCAATTTGCCTATTCGACCCAGGACGGGCTTAAGAAGCTGATGTCTCTGCTTGGCCCTGAGGGCGTGCAACACTTCGCTTCGCAAGGCCCTGAAGAGATCAGCGCGCGCCTAGAGGTGTATTCAAGCTATGAAAAAGCTCTGCTAGAGAACCTACAGCAGATGATGTCGGCGTCGACTGCGTTCATTAGACTACCGTCGACGACGGTTGACTCCTCCTGACCCAAGCCGCTCATCGCGAGTGTAAGACCTCTGAGACAAGGATGGACAGGATATCCTGCTCTGGGTAAGAGAGGCCGAGATGGCTTTGGCGTCCGCCATGCTCCAAACCGAGCAACAGCGCGTGGCGCTAGCTATCTCAAAGCTGGGTGGTCGAGCGCAAGAATGGGCGGTACTTCAGTCGAAGCGGCCTTTCCCTCCTGGACAAAGCTGAAGCTGCAGGCTTAACGAGTGTTCTCGCCGCCTAACCAGGCATATCGCGTGCGATCG